TATTTTCATTATTGACCGGCTCATTGCAAATTATTCTGCTTATTGCACGATAATCTAAATAAACCTTAAATTACTTCCTGTCCGTCTTCGTATGATTTGTCTATCGTCCAGTTATCTGTAATTGAACATACTTCCTTTTCTTTTGGTTTTCATCTTTAAGTTATTTTTCTCTTTTCTGTTCTGGGGACAGTTTATCCATCATCAATTCACTCTCTATAAATACAAAAATAAATATTAGAAATCTATCCCATGGGGTTTCAATGGAAAAACACAGCTGACGTTAAATTGATGGGACTTTTTTTTGCGGATTGATATGACTGCACACAGTCCCTTGATCGTGGCAACGGTCTGTTATCCTTAGTAACAGTCTGTTATCCTTAGTAACAGTCTGTTATCCTTAGCAACAGTCTGTTATCCTAGCAACAGTCTGTTATCCTTAACAACAGTCAGTTATCCTTAGCAACAATCTGTTATCCTAGCAACAGTCTGTTATCCTTAGTAACAGTCTGTTATCCTTAGCAACAGTCTGTTATCCTTAGCAACAGTCTGTTATCCTAGCAACAATCTGTTATCCTTAACAACAGTCAGTTATCCTTAGCAACAATCTGTTATCCTAGCAACAGTCTGTTATCCTTAGTAACAGTCTGTTATCCTTAGCAACAGTCTGTTATCCTTAGTAACAGTCTGTTATCCTAGCAACAGTCTGTTATCCTTAACAACAGTCAGTTATCCTTAGCAACAATCTGTTATCCTAGCAACAGTCTGTTATCCTTAGCAACAGTCTGTTATCCTACAACAGTCTTTTATTCTTTGCAGCAGACTGTTAGCATAGAAGAGCAGACCACATGTTTGGAATTGACCAATCAGCATCTAGTGTTCAACTAAGCCGTGTAATAGCGTTAAGTATCACAGAATAGTGCAAAAGAGTGAATTTGAATTTGACTTAGTTTCATTTGCAATCACTTGAAGATGTTTATGAATACATTGACTTAATAACAAACAGGGACATATACTATCACCAAAGTTATATATATTTTCAGATATTTACCATTCATTATAAGCCATTATTTCTCCCACTTCATACGGTAGCAGTGATGGCAGGCCTGTTAGTGGAAGTGCCGTAATGCCACTGAGGACACAATGAGTCTCTAGAGAGGCGCTAGATTTATGTTCCATGATGGCCATTTGTAATTAGCTGTAAATCAGGTTTGAAAAAAAGGTGTAAACACAGCCATCTCTGTCTGCTAATGGCAGCCCTCATTAATAATTGAGATGTAGACATAATGACCATATGAACAGGGTTTTAGAAATCATACACACATATTGCTTTTTGAATCTTTATATTGCATTATTTCCTATACGTACTTTTAGAAATACATTCTTTATATACTGCAGATGCTTTCAGGTAGGCATGTATAGTGTCTATGTCATTTGCTATAACATTATCTTTATTATTAATCATTGTGAGCGCCTGTGTTTTCATGTTGCTGAACAATAAACTCAGCCTATAAGCAATATTGCATAAAGATACACCATTGTTCTCACCATTAGAGCGCAACGTTCTACACTTGCATTTGGAAATGTATTTAGGGGTAGCAGCACAGTTCTGAAATGCTTACTGCTCTGGTTATTTGTCTTATCTACTTTCAAGTCTTATCCGAATCAGCTGCCAGGTGAAAATAGTAACACTTATTGCCTATTAGTGATGCCTGGTTTTATGCTGTGTGCATCACTGCTTAAAGGAATCATCTGCAGAGACAGCAGCCTCTGAAATAATGCATGCCGCCTGCAACCCACATCTGTATTTTCTGCAGCAGTCTCACAATTTTCCTGCCATATTTCTCACATCTCACACCTAGAATTGCTTTTGGTTTGGACTATTCCACGCTCTACTAAACACTGAATGCAGCACCATGGGAGGCTTTTCTTTCAGGGGTGAGACACTATCCAAACCACCTTCAGATTAATATGCATGTTTCATGTTTGTGTGAGAGCGATGATTTAAGCATGGCTGAGTATGTGTGTCTTTATGTCAGGCCAAATGTTCACATTCCCCATGACTAAATTTGGGTTAAGTGAAGAACTATGTCACTCCATAGGTTGAGTGTGTGTGTTGGGGTGTGTGTGTTTCTCTGAATGTTCCACAGGGAGAGTGAACCCCAGGCTGCATTACTCACGGCCTGTTTTGACACGTGCACGCACGCACACACACACGCACACACACACACACACACACACACACACACACACACACACACACACACACACACACACACACACACACACACACACACACACACACACACACATTTTAGGCACTTTTAAAAACCCATATAATAAGACAAGTGCTGAGACAGGTGAATACAATGTTTCCACAAACACACAGACACACACACACACACACACACACACACACAGACACACACACACACACACACACACATACACACACACATTTTAGGCACTTTTAAAAACCCATATAATAAGACAAGTGCTGAGACAGGTGAATACAATGTTTACACACACACACACACACACACACACACACACACACACACACCACACACACACACACACACACACACACACACACACACACACACACACACACACACACACACACAGACCATACTCATTGCCATTTTTAAGTAGGTTATTAAAGTTATTAAATAATATCCCGCGGTCCTTGAAAAGCTCATATGCAATTTCACGGGGAGGGGCTCTGATCCCCCCCCATCATTTAAACATAGGCTACTATAGCCTATGCACTCACAAGGTGAACTGAACCACATTTGAAATGACTCCAAAAGCATATTCCTCTAGGTGTGACCTATTTTCCTCGCAGAACTATTAGCGCTATCTTCTTTAAACGCTATACACCTACATTTCAAAAGACCAGAGGATAGGATTTACAAAGGTCTCTTTCACACAGGAATAATTAATACGATGCAGCTCCAGAAAAACCTGTCTGTAATAAGAAGCTGTTCTGGGAAATCAAAGCTCTACATCCCAGAGTTAATCAGGTGGGGGAATGATTACTGAAAGCTGGTTTGAGGATAAAAGCGTACCTGCTCACATCCCCGCTGCCTGATGATGTCACAGCCCCTCCCTCCCCCCCCCACCCTCCCTGTCTGCAGGCTGAGTCTCCAGGGGGCGGAACCTGGGTCTCATTCTGTCGCCAGTCCTGGCTCACTGCCTGGTTTTAGAAGCTGGAGAGTGTCAGACTGCCTGACATCCAGCCTTTTCTTTGATTACATTCGCTGTCCTGCTTTTGCTGCACTGCAAAGCAAAGCTCTCACTTACATGCAACTCAAGCCATGTTTATTAGACGTTAGGGCGAGGCAACACATGCAACTTGAGATTTTGGCAATTCTGCTACTGTCTTCTTTCAGATTAGTGAAAAGAAAACATAAGCAATGAGATTTAACTATAATTTGCTTCTCTAGATGTCTCTTGAATACACCAAAAGTAAGCATTAGATACTTTTCAGAAAACTTCTAATCTTAATGTATGTATTAAACTGGGGAAGTTTAATGATAATATCTATGAGTTTTATTGGTTGTGACTAGATGCTCCTGCAATTTGGGATTTTGAAATACATAACTTTGGAGGAGGTATTTCTCGTACTGTTACCCAGACATCTCCACTTCAGTAGCACTTCCACACTTTCCAGTTGTATTCCTATCTATATTCAGAGTGTTCTTACCAAGGGCTTTGTCAATATACCATTTACAGCAGTGGCTAAGTCAGTAGGGGCTTGGACTGGGAGCTGTAGGGTCACCGGTTCAAGTCCCCGACCAGACCTAAAATATGGAGTGTGTGGACTGCTACTTAGATAGGTCCCAGTTCACCTCCTGCCCTGCCGTGGTGCCCTTGAGCAAGGCACCGGACACCCCCCTTCCCCCCTCACTCCCATTGCTCCCCGGGTGCTGTACAATAGCTGCCCACTGCTCCTAGTACTAGACTCCTGGTACTAAAAGCAGAGAACGCATTTCACTGTGTGTGCTGTGTGCTCTGCATGTGTGACCATTAAAGAGGGGTTCATCCCTCCCAATTCTAATTCTACAGCCTGATTTATATAACATTTTATACCTATAGCAAAGCCGTTTTTCCAGCAGTGTTTCCTTATGGATGAATTGGAAGAGATATCTAAAACTCTCAATGCCTTTGACTTTACAAGGTCAACAATACAAAACAAGAATATGGAACCTAGCCAATGTTCAGATTAAAATGACAATATTTGCATCATAAAATGTGGACACTTGTAGGGGGAAAAATATCCTTCCTACCTGGGGTGTTTCCCCTTTATAATATATCTGGATTCAGAAAACTCCTTTAAAATCACATGTGCTGTGTTGTCTTATCTTTATGTCCCTCCTTCAGCCGGGCTGGGACAATAGTCCTTTCAAAACAAGCTTAAGACCCCGAGCTGGAATCCCTTGTTTTATACAAAGGTGAATCTGACACTGGTAATTGCAGTGAGCACACAAAGGGATCACCAGGGTGTAAACAACCTGTCTAGCATTCGTCCACTCCTCATAGCAAACATTTAAGAGGCTGAAAGAGTGTGTACAGTAAGAGAGGGAACTATAACATATTTTACTTAGTGAATGGGAGATAGTGACCTTTATCCTGGTGTGTGTGTGTGTGTGTGTGTTGTGTGTGTGTGTGTGTGTGTGTGTGTATGTATGTGTGTGTGTGTGTGTGTATATGTGTGTGTGTGTGTGGCTCTCTGTCCAGCAGCAGGTGTACAGGTGTCAAAAGTAATTGGCTGAAAAGACATCCTATATGTCTCTGTTCTTTCTTGAAACTCAACTCTATCATTTCCTTTACTCAGGCGACAGCGTGAAGCTTCTTTCTCATACCCCGAAGCCACAGATTAAGTGTATTGTCACTAAATAGGTGTGATCATTCAGTGTACATCACACTAGTTCAGCCCCATGTCATCCTGCAGGAAGCAATGGGATGGAATTAAACAAGGAAGAGAAGAAGACATTTACCTCCACATAGGGCACCACTTTGCAGGTGAACTCCCCCAGCAGCCAGGACTTGGTGAGTTCATGAAACACCACCATGGGCAGGCAGAAGAAGATGAGCACAAAGTCCCACACAGCCAGGTTGGCCAGCAGGGAGTTGGAGATGCTCTTCATGTAGTAGTTCTGGCACACGATGCACAAGATGGCAATGTTCCCCGCTATGCCCACCAGGAAGATGACCCCGGAGACGCAGGTGATGGCGTACGCTCCGTAGGTCTCGCTGGTCACCGGGTAGAAGGGGTTCTTGATCTCATCCCCAAAGTCCTGCGAGCTGGGAGGGGTGATTGGCGTGGCGTCCCAGGGGTTCTCCTCCCTGAAAGTGATGAACTCGGGCCTCCTGGTGAAGAGGTCAAAGGGCAAGTCGGTGGAAGTGAGGGCCAGAGGTTTGGGGATGGGTTCCCAAGACTGAGCCAAAACCCCCACGCTTTTGTTCAGCCGGGCTCTCCCCCTCTTGGAGCCTTTCTTGTGTTCATCTTTTGTGCCCCTCCTGTGCCTGTCGCTATCATCGAGCCCCCCTCCTCCGCCCATTGAAGAGGGCTTAGCGGCATTGTAGTGTCCACCTGCTGGCGTCCCCGTACTACCATTCAACTTTATCCTCCTATTGTGGTGGCGCGTCGGGTCCCAATGTGAGTTAGCGTGGGGATCCTCCACGGGGGTCACAGTCCTAATGAAGTCGCGTTTGTTGTGTCGCCTTGTCTCCCCAGCAATGACCCTCTTCCATTGGTGAGTGGAGTTCAGGGGCCCTCGGATAATCGCCCGCTGAGGCTCCGAGGACGCACCTGTGGCGTACCCCGGCGAGAGCGCACGGTCCCAGGCTTTTTTGTGGTGATTCTCCCGGGGTGACCCATGGAAAGTCCGTGCAGAGTGTGCGCCGGCTTTGCTGTCCTCTTTAACTTCTTCATTATTTCTCAGGGATAGTAAAACATGCGCGTGGGCTAGTAACACAAATAACGTCCAAGGCGGCAGAATCTGCATGGTCCGGGAATTATTGAGCGTAGATTTAATCCTCACAAGTGCAAATTCCAGTCAGTCAACACCCATGTTGGAAACAGCCTGTATGGAGCTCTCAAGTAAACAGCTCCATTCATCACCAACTTGTATCCTTGTCTTTCTGGCACTATGCAGCAGTATGATCTCCAAAATCACTCCCGGAGTCACTCCAGTCTCCAAAGTGTTGGCATTAGGGAGCAGGACAGCGAATCAGAGCCCAGATCTAGAGAGAAGGAGAGGAGGTGGAGAGGGAAATGCTGCATATTATAAATACATACCGCAAAATCTGCACAGCATCCAGTCTCCAGCTGCGGGTAGAAGCATCTGCAAGCACCGATCCTCTCTCTCTCTGTGTGTTAGCGCGTTAGTTTGGTGGGTTGGGTCCTCTGGCAGCAGCAGAGCAGCGGCAATGCGGTGCAGTCTGGGTAAAGCCCACTAGGTTGTGATGCACGGGAGTAGAGAGAGAGAGAGAGAGAGAGAGAGAGAGAGAGAGGGAGGGAAAGAAGAGGGAGGGGGGGTGTCGGTCTGCTTTCTCGTCCCTCTCACCTCCTCTGCTTTCTCCTCGAGTAGGACCGTGGAAGAAAATGGACTCCCCCGGCAGCTAACCCCGATCTGTCACTCCTCATCCATCACGGAGCATCCAGAAGCCCCGCAGCACACTACAGCTACAGAACCCCCCCCCCCCCCCCCAGAGGAGCCAGCCAGCCACGCCCGATAGACGAGCTGATCTTTTATTTTTACGCACAAGCATACGCTAAAAACACTTGGACAACATTTGAGCAGGGACCGTTTTATATTTTAAATAAACAAAAAGGATTAAAGCTCAGTTGTGTACAAAAACTTCAAATTAAAAGAAACTCTCACATCGATATGAATAAATAATAGTCTTAACCAGTCCAGTTCAACTAAGAAAACATATTTTGAAAAACTAAAAACATTTGAGCTGATTGAGCAGTTTAGTTTATGAATTTAAAACAAATAGGAATAAAGCAAATTTTCAGTAACTTCTTTCAAATTAAAATCAAATCTCGAATCAAAATGATCCAACATTATCTGTCCATTTAAACTAAGTACTCTGTATCCTCTATATCTCATTATATGTGTTAAGAAAACCACATTTTATTAGGCATTAGAGCTAATATGTAAACTGCTGAATCTCTTAATAAGGCGTGACAACAGCTTGCCAACAGCTCTGATATACTGCATATATTTGAGTATTGGTCCCAGGCTGTCATATCATCCATATTCAAACCTCATCCACTTCCTGAGCCCACTGCAAGCATCCCCATTTCTGAAAGTGATCCTCAGCCAGTTCTTTGGATTGATTTCTAGCTGCAGGGGATATGGACATTGATTGTGGCTGTTCTTCTTCTACAGCATCAATAACGGCAACGGCTCTATTAAAGTTGCTCTAGCATAAAAAGGCTGCTTCGGGTCATTTATTGGCCTCTCAAACGGCCCAAAGAAGCGAACCGAGGTACAGCTGGCTTCATACTTTCAATAGTTTTCTGAAATACTATAGAGTTTTTATAGGATATTCTTCAGTTCTTTAATTTTATTTAATTTGTTTATATAATGACATGCTCTAACTGTTTTTCAGGTCTCAGGCTCGAAAATGACATGCCCAGAACAAATGACCATTATCTTCCCTTCTAAAAGGGTTAAATTAATAATCTTTTTTCTCAAAGCAAGTAAATTCAGATTGAACACAGTAAAACAAAAATTAAATGATAGTGTCCGTCCAAAAAATAAAAAAAACGTATAGTGAAAACCACCCTTGAATGATGGGATGGTAGACTAAAAGCTTTAGGAATCCAAACTACAACATATAATAAGTACCTATATCAAGATTTATGCAAAACAAGTTAAATTTGACCTTTTTAGAGAGATTTAGCAAAATAAACACTTCTGGGGTCATTTGTGTGGATTTTCCATATCTCTGGCCCCCCTCGCTCGATGTGAGACGATGTCCCGTTTTTGCTCCGTAATGCTACGTGTTTTGATGTCTGTGTTTGCGTCCGCTGTCGCGAGTTCTGATCACTCAGTGATGATACTATACCTAAATAATCTGTGGAGTCTCAGCTTTAATCAGATATCTTGTCTGTGCAGTTACGATAAGTAATAAGGGTATCTTTATCTTGAGTTCTGTGCCAAAGTGCGTTAGCATTTTTTCGCTCAGTGGTCATTTAGATTTCTTATGAGACTTGTGTTTTGTTTTGGTAATAATTGTTTATATCGTCAGTTAGCTGAGATTCTTCCCGTTAATCTGGTATAACACATTAATAGGTTTTTAAATATTAAGATGCCCTAAGACACAGTGCCGTGAAAAAAAAAGTCTTTGGGACTTAACAGTGTTGACTCCTCTAAACACATAAGTGGTTAAGACAGAAAGCTAAAAGATAGTAACTGTTCAAATAGTAAGCTTAAAGAGATACATAATTGGAATATTAAGCTTAAAAGTAATGAATTTATTACAATAAAAGGATAAACAACTTGTATGTTTTTATCAAATAAATGGATAATCAGTTATAATAGTTCGGTACAATGTATAGATAAACAACCTAAATGAATAGATAAATAGTCAAAGTAGTTATAAATCAGTAAATAAACAACAACGTATATATTAGCTTAAATAAATTGATAAAATGTTGAAATAGTTAGCTAAAAGTAATGGATAAACTATACATTTTGGCTTAATGAAATGAATAAACAGTTAAGCTAAAAACAATGGATTATCACGTGAAATTGTTTGAAAAAGTATATTGAAGAAATAAATATTTAGTATAAGTAATGGATATATGGTTGAAATCCTAAGCTACATGCAATGGTTACAAATGTTATATAGTTAACTAAAATAATGGATATGTTGCTACATGAGTTATTACTCGTACAAACACAAATCACTACCTGTGAGTAAGTGATGAATGTCCAGTCAATAACTCAAACGTCTCCAAGGACTTAATGAAGTGAGCACATTATGTCTCAAGTGCTCTAAGTACTGTAAGAGAAGCTTCACAATAACGCTGGAGTCTCACCACTTGGAGACACACCATTTAAGAAAAGGCACATGAAACAAAAACATGAAATACACAAAACTGACATATACGCAATCATACTTACTTGTTCTTGTCTCAGTGATGCAGGTACTGAGAGACGGAGTGAAAGGAGAGTGAACTGGCAGACATCTAGCTGCTGACCTTCAACATCAAATAGGTGATTTGAGCCAAATACCGCCAGGAGAGCTCGCACGCACGCACGCACGCAGACACACACACACACACACACACACACACACACACACACACACACACACACACACACACACACACACACACACACACACACACACACACACACACACACCACACACACACACACACACACACACACACACACACACACAGAGCCAAGTTTCAGTAGGGGGGACAGCACTGAAGATGGATAACTCGGTGCTCTTGCCAATATCTTCATCTGACCTGGATTCAATGTAACGTAGTATGTCCAGACATCAGCCTGTTATACCTTGAATATGAGGGAAACTTTGTTGCATGTCTCTAAGGTGAATAAGATCGAAAAGTCTTGATGAATGGAAGTAAATGGTGAGCGCTTTCAAAGGCCCTATTCTGCTAAATACTGCCCCCTATACTTTAACATTTGCTTAACGTTACTAAGCCATTTGCAAGCGTGAGGATGTTTATGCAGAACTGTATTAATCAATTATTTAATATTTCTCTGTTTTTGAATTCTTTGTTTCCTGTTGAGGGATTCGAGAAGTGTTTTCACAAAAAGGTCAGGGTTAGAAATGTCAACTTAGGATCAATTCTGGGTGAAAGATTCCTTTAAAAGAAAGACATAAAGTAGCATCACATTGGGTATAGTGGATTTAATGAAAGTTGAATGCTCCCTATGGCGAAAGTGTGTAAAATAATATAGGGCAGAGTATTTCTCTTTCACTTTGCATTTTCACTTCTCTTTGCTGAGTGCAGTCATCCAATGAGTGAGTCATGCATAGTTTCATACGAATTAATGGTAACAGACATTTTTGTTCTCCCTTTGATAACAAGTCATATCCCGGCAAAGCTAATCACTCGGTGAACGCTCAGCATCCGTTGGGCTCTGCAGGTTAAGTCATTTAAATTACACTGTGTGTCTGACCTTGAAAACACCAGGCAACAACTTGTGGTACAATTAGAATCAGCTGTAAGGCACGGGGCAACACACACATGCAATTATCATGTCTATTGTGTGTGTGGTCTGTGGAGACTCTGCTAGTTGGTGTGTGTGGGTGGAGATAAAGCAGAGAGGCACTTTCGGAGATGCACTCATGCGAGGAAACACTCCACGGTTCAGACACAGAGGGACATCAAGGGCACACACCATGCGTGCACACACATGATGAGTGCACACAGCAGGACACACACACACACACACACACACACACACACACACACACACACACACACACACACACACACACACGGAAAGTCTTGAGTTTAGTAGGGCGTGCAGGAGGCAAGACAAACATGCCAAGACCATGAACATTTTATGTATTTCACTGTATATGTGCTGCATGGAAAATAAATTATACACACATGCACACACAACCGCTGTATGGGGAGGTATTCACACACACCACACACACACACACACACACACCACACACCACACACCACACACACACACACACCACACACACACACACACACACTGCAGGACCCCGGTGACTGGTGCGTTCACACAGCGTAAACCAAACAGACAACAAACCCCTAAACACAGCCTGCAGTGCTCAGAGGACTCGATGCATTATAGAAACAGTCAGAATGATTCAATGTGATACACAGGAGGAAACAGTTGGGGAAACAGTTTTTACTCTTCTGAATTATTAACACACCCATGTGGCTTCGTCTGTAAAATGTACTTTTAATAAATCAATAGAAAGGCGGAAATTTGATTAACCGACCTGCCTGTTGCTGCCAAACTGAAACATTGACTTGAATGAAATGTATTATGTCAACAAATCTCACATAACTGTATTATTATTGTTAGTTCAATAATATTATAACTTGCATCTAACTTAGTTATGTGGAATTTGTTTAAATAATACACTTAAGTCAACATTTCACTTTTTTCAATGCATGTTGATGTGAACCATCAGGATGATTAGAAAAAACTATTTCTTTTAAAAATTACTATTTTCTTAAGTTCCTTTTTTCTTAGTTTTTCTTAGTTTTCCTTAGTTTTTTGATTTTTTATTGGTTAAATATTAAAACAAATCTTCAAATTTGGCAGTAAAAATGAATCCCCAACAACTTCGATAGTAAATACCGGCAACAAAGTATTAAAAAAACCAGATTAGGATTATTCAATTTGCTAAAAAAATGTGTTTTACCCACATTTAAATGCCAGGCATATCGATGAGACTTTTAGGATGTCCACTGCACTTCTATCTCGCAGTCTTCATTCACAGTGAGGCTTTTATCACACTGCTCTCCATCTAATACACTGGGCTGTTGTTCTGAAAGCTTTCCATCAAATTCATCGTCATCCCTTTATGATGATTTTCATTATCTTCCATAAGTGTCAG